AAAGAAAAATAAGTTCCTAAAGTATTACTAGGAGCCCTGGTTGCACAGTGGTTAAAGCCCTCGGCTGCTAACTGGAAGGTCTGTGGTTTGAACCCATCAGCCTCTTCCCCCGGAGAAAGATGTGGCAGTCTGCTTCCGTAAAGATTTACAGCCTTGGAAACCCTGTGGGGCAGTTCTCCTCTGTCCTGTAGGGTTGCTATGAGTTGGAACTGACACAACAGCAAGGGATAAAATATTACTATCTGGAGATAATTTCTGTTAATGTTTTGAAGTATACCCTTTAAGTACATTTATTTATTTATTCCAGATACCTACTGAGTTAGCTAGAGAAATAAAGGTAATAGGGAAAAAACTTATTTTGATCATCCTCCCTAATCTATTTGACTAGGCCAGTTGAATGGAGCTTTGTAAAAAAAACGTCTGTTAGGGTTCATGGCCAATGAATAAAAAAGTAGCACCAACTCGTCAAATCCCCACCTTCCCTTCTAATCTTTCTCCCTTGTTCTCAAAGCAGGGTACTGTCACGATCTGGGTGTCCTGCCACTGATTGATTTGGCATGTGGTAAGATTGAGGGTAAGGATTGTTCTTGGACCCTGTTTGTCTGCTTCTGGGCTGTAAGCTTTAATTGACTCTTCAAGGAGGCAAGTGAGGCACTAATTCGAGTCTCAAAAGTGTTTCTGGAAGTAGCATTCTGCTACTGCACTCTGAAACATGTCCCATGTCAGGGTATCTGTTCTCTTTAATTCTTGTTTCCTCATTCCTATTATCAGGGAACTCTTCTTCACTTGTCAAAAGTGAGGACTTTTTTCCCCAGTTGGCTAACTCATTCCTACTTATGGCTTATTAGCAATGGAGTCATTTATCATTTATTTAATAGCACTATCCTGCTTTATGGCACACAGTTCTAAAGGCAGATTATAATATAATAGCCATAGTAACGTGTTTACTCTTTTATATCTACAAATACAAATTCACTAGTCCCCTCCCCCTTGGAATATAGAAATAATTCTTCAGCGTTCCAGGGAACCTAGACTGAGAAATGGTCTTTTGTATATGTCGTCTCTAATCCTTCTATGTTCTTTATGCCCATACTTAAGTCACTGGCTTAGTTATCTACTGCTGCTATAACAGAGGTATCACAAGTGGATGGCTTTAACAAACAAACTTACTTTCTCATGGTTTAGGGGGCTGGAAGTCCGAATTCAGGACGCTGGTGCTAGGAGAAGGAGTTCTCTCTCTGTCAGCTCTGGGGGAAGATGCTTGTTTCTTCAGGTTCTGTTTCCGGGTTCCTTGGAGATCTCTGTGTGGCTTGGCATCAATCTTTCCCCCATCTCTGCTTGCCTATTCTGCTCCTTTTATCTCTTGCAAGAGATTAACCCAAGACACACTCTACACTAATCCTGCCTCATTAAATTAACAGAAAACTCATTCCCAAATGGGATTCTAACCACAGGCATAGAAGTTAGGATTTACAACGTATTTTAGGGGGCACAAGTCAGTCTGTAACAGTCGTATAAACTGCTTCGTAGGCAAACTATAGATTTTGGGTGAATGAACAGAGTGAAAGTTTTAGAAATGAAGGAAAGAACTTACTTAGTTGCTTAATTTACTGAATGACTCCATTTTGGGTTGAAATAGGATCATATCCTCAAATATGAGGATATGTTTTATTTGCATTAAGCTTTTCAATATCAGAAAATGCTTAATTTTGAAGGTTGTTCTTTTATGGCTGATGCACGTTGTCATATTTGTCAGTGTTTTTATAAACATCACACATATTCACACAAAGATATACACACACATATTTCTGTCATGTATACAAAGATGTTAATGATAATGGTGGTTGGAGCATAACTGTAAAACAGGTCTACAGTGTTTATTGAATATTTATTAGAATATAAAACATTAGAAAGATAAAAAAAGGAAACTGGACAGATATTTCTTTCCTTCACAGCATATAATCTAGTTAAGGATACAAAAGAGAAATGTTTCCTTTACTTTTTCTATCCTGCCAGAAACTAACCAATCACAAAGTAATTATGAAACACTGTGTAAGGGAGGAAAGGTTAACACAGAATGAAAGTTGGGAGACTATATAGTGAAGGAATAAATAAAATGAATTGGAAGTTTTCAAAGAAGATTTTCTCAAAGAAGTGAAAAATGTAAATGGTGAAGAGGGAGGTAGAGGGACATATGCAGAGAAATTATGAGAAATTGATACTAGGACAGCATGGAAAATCTATGATGGGGGCTTATTCACTTCCACATTTCATACTAATTAAAAAATTAAACATCTGTTTGTATGTGGGATGATTATTTGCCCAAGAGCTAGACATTATTTAAGCTGCTTATGGCAGGAGAGGGAATTAAGAAAAAGCCTGCTTCTGTGAATGATGTTATGATAATTGGAGAGAAAAGTAATTCAAACCATTTCATGAAAGAAGAGCTACCACCAAATAATTCCTTGGAGAGGAATGACATAATTCTTAATTAGTCCGTTAGTTACTCTCTAGGCTTTCACCATATGAATCTAACAAGTAATTTGCGGGTATTATCTTTGTGGAATTTAACTTCAAGCTTTATAAACAAATAGAAGATAGATATGGAATAAGGACCAAAAATGAATAACTTACCTTTAAACCTGAAATAAAGGTGAAATATGAGTGATACCATAGAAGCCACAGCATAGTTAGTGGTTGTCTTAGGCTGGGTTCTCTAGAGAAACAAAACCAGTGAAGCATCTATAACCCGAAAAAAAAAAAAAAAAAAAACCAATGCTGTCAAGTCAATTTTGACTCATAGCGACCCTATAGGACAGAGTAGAACTGCCCCACAGGGTTTCCAAGGAGTGGCTGGTGAATTCGAACTGCCGACCTTTTGGTTAGCCGTAGCTCTTAACCACTGTACTACCTGGGCTTCTGAAGCATATATGTGTGTGTGAATATATATATACACATATATAGATATGTAGAGAGAGAGAGGGATTTATCTAGAGGAAATGGCTCATGCAGTTGTGGAAGCTGGCAAGTCCCAAATCCGTGGGTCAGACACCAGGCTAGAGGCTTCTCCTGACTCATGTGGTTGCAGGGGCTGACAAACCCAAAATCGGCAGGTCAGGCAGAAGGCTGCTAGCTCATAGGGTTGTGGGAGCTGGCAAATCTCAAGATCTTCAGGTCAGTCAGCAGGCTGTTGGCTCATGTTCCAGAGGTCAGAGTCAAATGCAGGACTCAGGGAGAGCTTTGCCGGAACATCTATATATATTGGGTGCAGGCCACACCCCCAAGGAAGCTGATTGCCTTTCAACTGATTGGGCTGCTCACATCAGATGACAAAATGGAAGATGATTATATACTATCTGCCAAACCACTGATCATCATGGCCTAGCCAAGTTGATATATAGCCTTAACCATCAGAGTGGTAAAAAACTAAAGTGGACTTTGAAGTTATACTGCTTATGCTTGAATCCCAGTTCCCTTTATTGGCTATGTGACCTAAGCTAAATTTTATCTGGGGATAATAATACCTCATAGGGTGATGGTGAGGATTTTAATGAAATAATATATAAAGTGCTAAGCATAGTATCTAACTTATATTAGTTGTTAATAACTTGACCACCTTTTCAGTATTTTGTTTTATCTAGTGGTGGCTATGTAATTTAATAAGCTTATAAAATAGATGAAAGATCTTAAATAATAATGTTTGTATATTTAAGCTGTTAGATTTAGATGAATTACAATTAAAATTAAATAGAAAGCAGACATAAAAGACATAAGAAGTTAGGCAGACTGAATATTAGTAGTGAAAATTTTGCTGACTGGGGGAAATGTACTTATTTCAGATTACTGAATTTATTTTTCCCAATTTCTTTCCCCCAAACTAAAAGATCAAACAATAAGTGTCTTTTGAATTTTTATTATGGTGCCTTTCGAACATATATGAAAGTAGTAAATATCCGTGAACCTGTCATCCAGCTGCAAACAATTATCAAGTCTTAACCAATCAATCCTCACCTAAGATTATTTTGAAACAAATTTCAAATGTAATATCATTTCAGACATAATACTTATTGAACACTATTTTGTGGAATATTCTAAAAGACGTGTAAGACAAAGTCCTTGCTATTGGATTTGAGAAGACTGAAAAATAACACTGCTTATTTAGTGTCCCTTCCCAAGTTTGAAACCAATTTAGAAATAAAATACAATCGTGAAATAGTCAAAATACCAGCTTTATTAGTAATAGGGCTAAATTTAGACTTTATAATGCCCTCTCTAGATTGATATTAAAACTGGAGGCCTTTTCCTTGCATTGGCAGGGCCTGTCCTGGCAAGCTGAGTAGAAAGTTTCTTCCTTCTGAGGATGAGCCACTCCAAATTAAAAGGACCCCAAAGGGTTGAGTCACAGATAGACACAGCTTTTTCCTAAGTCGCTTCTGGCCCCATGAGGAGGAGTATAAGAGGGAGTAGAGAAAGGTTAGAAGCGGTCCTTCTATTCTTTTCCCTTCCTGAGGACTAGAGTTTTCCTTCATGAAGTGTAAACAGCAGTGGTAGAAGATAGTTTCCCTCTGTGTTACTGTTAGCTGCTGTTGAGTCGGCCCAACGCATGGCAACCCTATGCACAACTGAATGAAACACTGCCCAGTCCTGCACCACCCCCATGATCAGTTGCATTATGATCCATAGGGTTTTCATTGGTTGATTTTCAGAGGTAGATTTTCAGGGCTTTCTTCCGAGACTGTCTGGAAGCTCCACTGAAAGCTGAGCAACACGCAAGCCTCCGCTGACGGATGGTGGCTGCACATTAGGTGCCTTGGCTGGGAATCTAACCAGGTCTCCCTCATGGAAGGTGAGAATTCTACCACTGAACCGCCAATGCCCTCATCTACCTGTTGCTGTCAAGACCGATTCCGACTCATAGTGACCCTATAGGACAGAGTAGAACTGCCCCATGGGGTTCCAAGGAGCAGCTGGTGGATTTGAACTGCCGACCTTTTGGTTAGCAGCTGAGCTCTTAACCACTACACCACTAGGGTGCCAATGCTCTCACTTAGTATTTAGTAGGTAATTTTTTATCATCCAGTATGGTCATTTCATTACAGTATTATTACTACAGTCAATAAACATTCACCAAGTATCTGTTCTTTCCAGGTACTATGGTGATGGCAGCAGTAATAAATAACAATAATCCTTAACATTTGCTGAATGCTAACTATAGTATTCTGTTGAATCTAATGCCATTTATTATAAGATGCACAATTTTATGTGTACTGCTAAGAGAAAACCTTTATGCTATTAAACTATTATACACAATTCATTGTAAAATACACCCTAAATTCAGAAATGTTAAAAAGTTCAAAACTATCTTTTTTAAATGATGAAGCATGGCACTTTCCAAGCGAAATCATTTAATTGTCCTAGTCCTATGAGATAGGTGCCATCATTATCCTCATTCTTATAGATAAGGAAGCTCAGCCACAGAGGGATAACTTTCTCAACGTCACACAGGTAGCAGGTAGACTTGAGACCAGGCATCCTAAGTCCAGAGCGCTACCCTCAACCACCACACTATACTGCCTTTAGCCAAAGGTGAGTAAAACACAGTAACTTCTTTTAAGGAATTCATGAGAGGCAGAAGAGGGAAACAAGTACATAATTTATGCTATAATGTGATAAATGCTATAGCAGAGCTATGCATAAGAGACAATGGGAATGCAGAGGAGAGACTGTTTAACTGTCTGAGGAGGTGTGTGTGTGTATTTGTGTGTGTGTGTGTGTGTGTACCAAGCCCTCTTCTCTTTTATGACAAATAAGCAGATATTATAACTTAAAAAAAAATCACAGTTAGATCTTCTAACTCCCTGCATTGCTGTGGCTGTGTTTTGATCTTTGATTCCTCCTGTTGCAGCTAAAAAAAAAAAAAAAATCAAAATACATTACACTCTTTAAAACACCTTTATTTTAATGTCTATATAATATATAAGCACCAGGATTCACTAGATGTATCTTATTAAGATGAATTTCTGGGAAAATAAAATGTTCGGAATAGCTAAGTAAATGAAGTTTAATATTTTCACAGGTGCTGGAGAAAATTTGGAGAATACAATGGCAGCCTTTCAGCAGTAAGTATGTAAAAAAGTACTCTTTTTTTTTTTTTAAACAGTTTAAAATGATGATTCACAAAGTGAAGAAGGTAATACATGTAGCGTCCACTTGTGGTAGTTGTTTCTATTTTTTTTAAATTACTCTCTTTTAATACAGTTTGAAGTGTTACAAAGAGTGTTTGGCTTCTGTATAATTGAAAAATCTAGATCAGAGTTTTGGGTTATCAAAAGATACTATAGTTCCAAAGCTGAAAGAAGACATTTGTAACAAACAACATACTGTTTATAATGCTAATTAGTCTTGGAGAGAAGAGAAAAGGAGAAAATGGAACAACTGTTACATTAGCTGCTGTTTATGAACAAGATTATGTGTCTTTCTACCCAGTAATTTTTATACTGACCTGAACCTGCAGTCTGGTCTTTCTTCTTTATGACCTCATGAATGTTTATTTTATTTTTTAAACAAGGTAAAGTTAAAATATTTTCTGTTTATAAATTATTCATGTTTCATCTAGATGCCTTTTAGAACACTTCAGAGAGAAACAGCAGGAGAGACAGGAATGAGAGCTGATTAATACCTTGTTCTGTGTCTTAGAGTAAATGATTGTCATCAGTCTGTGGTAATGATGAGAACAGTGTTTTCTTTTCCCTGAAAAAATAAAACAGAGAATGTGGAAAGTTAAATCCAACGGAAGATATTACTTATCCATATTTAGTAAGAAAAATATTTTCTTATATAATTTTTGAACCATTTTTTATGTATATAATTGGGGCTAAGAAATCAAGAGCATTTAAGTTTTCTGCTTCTCATTCATTCAAAGTTATCTTAGAGATTATTTTTCCTATTAGCAGGTCCAGTGGTGCTGCTTCTCCATATTCTAGTTTCATCTAAATCTATCCTGTTTGTATTTGTCATCCCTAACTCTACCTATTCTATAATAGGATGCCTTTTGACTATGATCTCAAAAGTCTCTTACAGGTCCAAAAATGAAAAATCTTTCCTCTTGTCGCAGACTATGAAATAGAATACTTTAAATTAATTTAAATTCTTTTCTCTACTGAGGTTTTATATCTGTTTAGCTAGCTATAGCTAAATATAGATATATAATCTTACATGTACAGTTTCCACTGAGATACATACACACACACATTATAATTGATCAAATATTTGTTGACTGGGATGTAGGTGAAATATATTACTTGGAAAAGAACTGCTCATAACTTTAAGTGACTTCAGCATTCTTTATGTTTAAAGTACAGCGAATTCTTGTTATTCATGGTAGTTCTGTTCTACAAAGGAATCTCCCTGGTGGTGCAAATGGCTAATGTGCTCAGCTGCTAACCAATAAGTTGGAAGTTTGAGTTCACCCAGAGGCACCTTGGAAGGAAGACCTGGCGATCTACTTCTGAAAAATCAGCCATTGGTAATCCTATGGAGCACAGTTCTACTGACACACATGGGATTGCCAAGAATCTAAGTTGGCTAGTTAGTGTTCTAGAAAGTCTCAGTAAACACAGAATTAGGGAATATAGGGAAAATACAGAGTTAGGCTCCTACAGGTCTCTGGTCACATTATAATTAGCCATTCAGTACATAATCTTGTTTTATGTGTGTTTCTGTTTAAAGACACCTTATTTAATATATATTGTTGGTTCATTAACATTGAACTTGTGGCCAACAGCACTATACTCATGCTTAAACAAAGCTTATCTAACACATGTGTTTTCTCTGTAAGGCACCTTCTTGTGCTTAGGAACACTAGACAGTGCGTCAGCACTATGCTATGGGGCCGTTTTAAATAGCAAAATCACCGAAGAAGAGCACAAACAGCGCAAAAAAAAATTACACTAAATATACCACAAAACGGACACTTGTTTACAGTATGAGAGGTGAAATAAGAAGGCAGAATGTTGCCTTGTTCAACCTCAGCTGGCAATGTGCATGCTGAGGGACTTAATTTTTGGCAGCCCTACTCATGTCCACAAATGACTACAAAGGTACTATATTGATTTTGAGATTATAAACACATTTTAGCAAATTCGCAAATAAGGAATCTGTGAATGAGGATCAACTGTGTAGAGTCTGTGAATGGTGCATTTGAAAATATCACAAGTATTTTTTATCTTTGAAAATGTTTATCCTCTGAATCTTTTTTGATATTCAAAGGATATCTAATTTAAATGATTTTTACTTGTTAAATACAATGTTATATTTCACATCTGTGTTAGCAATCCAGGGCTCCTATAACAGAAATACCACAAGTGGATGGCTTTAATGAAGTGAAGTTTATTCTCTCACAGTCCGGTAGGCTACAATTCCACATTCAGGGCATCAGCTCCAGCAGAAGGCTTTCTCTTTCTGTCAGCTCTGGAGGAAGGTCCTTGTGATGCATCAGTCTTCCCTTGGTCTGGGAGCATCTCAGTGAAGGAACCTCAGGTCCAAAGGATGTACTCTGCTCCTGGCACTGCTTTCTTGGTGGTATGAGGTTTCCATGTGTCTCTGCTCGCTTCTCTCTTTAATATCTCAAAAGAGATTGCCTTAAGACACTGTCCAATCTTGTATACCTCATCAGTATAACTGCCGCTAATCCATCTTATTACATCATAGTGATTGAATTTACAACACATGAGGAAATCACATCAGATTATGAAATGGTACACAATTATACAATACTGGGAATCCTGACCCAGCCAAGTTGACAGATATTTTTTGGGGACACAATTCTGTCCATGACAGCATCTTTGTTATGTTGTTAGTTGCTGTTGATTCTGACTCATGGTGACCCCACAGCATGCAGAATAGAACTGCTCCATAGGGTTTTCAAGGCTGGGACCTTTTGGAAGCAAATGGGCAGGCCTGAATTCCGAGGCATCTCTGGGTGGTGCCAGCCTTTCAGTTAGTAGTCAAGCATTTAACTATTTGTGCCACCCAACGACTCCTTCCTATGTTTAAACCAAAACTCATTGCTGTTGAGTTGATTGCGACTCATAGTGACCCTGTAGGACAGAGTAGAGTTGCCCCATAGAGTTTCCAAGGAGCGGCTGGTGGATTCGAACTGCCAACCTTTTGGTTAGCAGCCGAGCTCTTAACCACTGCGCCACCAGGGTTCCTTCCTATCTTTAGCAGGTCTTCAGTTGTCTTATTCAAACAATAACTATTGAAAAGTGCCACAGCCTTCTCTAAATACCATGTGGCAGGTTTCTGTAATTTTTGTTAGTTTGAGAAGTTTTTCTGATATTTTGAAAAGAAGCAAGCAACTCTTTTATATATTATTAAAATGTTTACTAGATGAATTTGTAAGGCTGCTTGTTAATTGACTTTGAAATTTACATAAAACCTAAATCAAAAAGGCTTTAATTTTAACCTTTTTTTTTTAAAAAAAAATTGTTAGTGGTGGTGGTGGTTGGTTTTTTTATTTTGTTTTCCTTTGTCTTATATTAGTGCTCTTGCTATCAATGAGCACTCTTTTTTTTTTTTGACTTTTTTTTTATTGTACTTTTTAAGTGAAAATTTACAATTCAAGTTAGTCTCTCATACAAAAATTTATACATACATTGTTATGTGACCCTAATTGCTCTCTCTATACTGTGACAGCACACTCTTCCTTTCCACGCCAGATTTCCTGTGTCCATTCAACCGGTTCCTGACCCTCTCTGCCTTCTCATGTCACCTCTAGACAGGAGCTGCCCATTTAGTCTAATGTATGTACTTGAGCTAAGAAGCACACTCTTCACAAGTATCATTTTGTGTCCCATAGTCTAGTCTAATCTTTGTCTGAAGAGTTGGCCTCAGGAATGGTTTTAGTTCTGGGTTGACAGAGAGTGCAGGGGGCATGCTTTCTGAGGATCCTCCAGTCTCAGTCAGACCATTAAGTCTGGTCTTTTTACTAGAATTTGAGTTCTGCACCCCACTTTTCTCCTGCTCCATCAGGCCCTCTGTTATGTTCCCTGTCATGGTGGTCATTGGTGGTAGCCGGGCACCATCCAGTTCTTCTGGTCTCAGGCTGATGCAATCTCTGGTTTATGTGGCCCTTTCTGTCCCTTGGGCTAATACTTTCCTTGTGACTTTGGTGTTCTTCATTATCCTTTATTTCAGGTGAGTTGGGACAAATTGATGCATCTTAGATGGCTGCTTACTAGCTTTTAAGACCCAAGACACCACTCAACAAAGCAGGATGCACAACATTTTCTTAATAAACTTTGTTATGCTAATTGACCTAGATGTCCCCTGAAAGCATGGTCCCCAGACCCCCGCCCCTGCTACTCTGTCCCTCGAAGTGTTTGATTGTATTCAGGAAACTTGTTAGCTTTGGTTTAGTCCATGAGCACTCTTTTCGTTAGTTTTTTTTTTTTCAATTTACTATTTATATGATGACATACCTTTCCTAAATTTTATTTTAAAGGCCCTAGAAGAACATACAGATAGTCCCCGGCTTACGACAGGGTTCCATTCTGACGACTACTCTGTCGTATGTCGGTTCTGATGTAAGTCAAATACCTCATTTTTTTAGTTTTCATTATTATTACCTCTTATTATCGGTATCTTTATAAATCTGATCTTTGAGAGTTGGAAATGTTACATCTGATAATGATAACTTAAGCAAATTACACACTACAACATTGTATGTAGTACATATTACTGATGATAAGATGTATGAAAAAAAAGGACCATCATAAGTGCGGTTCATCGTAACTCAAATCTGTTGTAAGTCGAGGACTACCTGTATAGTATAATTTCCTTGTCAACAGATAATGAAAGAGAGTATTTGTTGTCAAAATTTCAGAGAAGAGTAATTATGGATCTCTTCTTTAGTCTGATTTATCTTGCTGTCCTGACAGTGAGCTAAGAAGTTAATAATTCTTCTGTTTCTTTCATTGCTCAAACTAGACACTAGACAGCACTTAGAAGTTTGTTTGTTTAATATCCCTGCTTCATGAGCAACAAGAAAAAATTGTTTAAACATATCTTTTCAAGGTACTATATTTTACAAAGGTAAAGAGTTATAATACATAATCCA